TATATATATATATATATTCACCACAATAAATTATGGTAATGCAAGGAGTTGTTTTTTTAATTAAAAAAGCAGAAACCAAGTAAATAGTACATGTAAACTTCCTTCAAAATACATAAATATACCTAAACTACATAGATAGTTCTTTTCTGATCCATCCAGTCCTCAATATACATTAAGAATTTCTTAATGATTCAGATGAGTGAAATATGTTAGTTAACCATGACAGCTGGTCATTGTTCCTTCGAGGTAATGTTATAGTAAGTGATTAACCTATGTCTACAGCCCTTCCATGGCTACATAAACCTATCTCTGCTTCTTGGATTTGCTGAGGAAGGCTTTTGATTGCACAAGGAATCTCTTGCTTGACATAGTATTCACTGAAATGCTAAACGGGCTGAGCTTCACTGAAATCTTGGTGGGGAGAGACATACTGAGTCTCCATTTCCTTGTTCATGGAGCAGGCAAAATGCTGAGTAACCCAGTGAGTGCTAGTGAGACTAAGGATGGAAGAAAGACTGCCTAATGTATTATTTCATTTCCATGAAGACAAACATGACACATTTGGTGGACAAAGAGGACTTTGATATGCAGTATTCTAGCTAAGTGTACCATGAAGTATTGGTTCTTGGGGACCACATTGAAAAATTATCCATAAAAATTCATTTGCTCTCCTGGGACACTGGGTCTACTTCCCTTCTACATAAATTCCATGGTCCCAGAAAATATGTTCTACTATTTTTTCTAATACTATGAAAGTATTATTAATGTGACTAGGAAAACAAAAATCATCAAAATAATGATGGCAGGTACTATTTTACAAATATTTCAACATGCCAGGTTTTAATTTTTGCATCATGTATAGCTTGCTCCATTTTATCCACAGTCCCGCATTGTTATAGTTTCATAGAAAAGGAGCTCAGCATTTTTGTAGCCTCTACTATGCTTTAATTGAGAAAAATGATACTTTAAAAATATTAATCTGTTTGAAGAATGACATAGCTCATTATAACTGGAGAAAGTATAGCATAAATATGCAATACAAGCAGTCCCTTCTATTCCCTGTCATTGCAGGAAACAACTTTTTGTTCACTATGCTCTTCACATTAGAAATTTGGGCAGCTGACAGTGAAGAATGGTGGGTAGCACCTGCTGTGTCTATTATATGAAGGACTGCAATGCAACACAGGGAAAGAAGAGAGATATGAACATAATTTAGCACATACAGCTATCTTAGTTTTAATTATGTTATAAATATGGGCTAAGTAATTTCATCTCATAAAAGTAATGATGTTTCTATCTCATTAGAGGAGACTGTGGCCTGGGATGGCAATCAGAAAAATGAACACATTTGTTTTGTGTCCCTCTCTGCTTCTCTATGCAGAATGTATGCAATGTCCCAGTCTCTCTGTATTATTCCCTGTTGGAAATGGGGACAATAACTCCCTCTTCCACAATATATGTGCCATGTAGTCTAAGTGTGCAATTTTATAAACACTGGTGCACTGTGGTTTCTTAAAATAAACAATTCACTTATTAAAGATATAGTAGATCTATGAAAAATACAATTAATGGAGCCTGTGATGTTGTAAAACTCTACAGTGTGTCTTAGTGAAGGCAAAGGAATAAGATTTACTCAACTTTCACTTTTTGCTTTTTTGTTATTTGGTTTTTCTTTCTCTATACAGGAAAATTCTTGGCCTGGATTTCTGGAATGAATATTGGAGATTCTGTTAAACAGAAGCATTGTTCCACAATCCAGTGACATAGATGTGAACAAGAGCAAATTTCTCATCTTTAGTTCTATAGGACATTCCTGAAAAGAATAAATGTGCAGACAGGCACGGAATATTTTGAAGTCTCACTGTTTATGGAGACATTTTGAGGTTAACACACAGTTCTAATTTTCTTTTTTTTTTTTTTTTTGGTACCGGGGTTGAATTTTGGTCCTTGCACTTGCAAGGCAGGCTACAGAACCACTGAGCAAAATCCCAGGCCCTAGACAGTTCTTATTTTTATACTTTTGTGACAAACATGGTATAGACTCGGGATAAACTTTAACAAAAGTCACTACACTTGAATTACAAACATACAACTTGAGAAAGAAGATATGGTTTTTCTATGAAATTTTATACTATTCAGCTATAAAGAATGAGAAATTAAATTCATTCACAGGAAAATGGATACATATTGAAGATATACTCCTAAGAGAAATAAATAAGTCACACATGTGTAAATACTGAATAGATTTTTCTGGTATGAAAAAGTATAATAGTACCTAAGATCCTAATGATATAATTGACAATGTGAAGTAGGAAGAAAAGGGCTAAAGGTGTAGGGAAGGTGGGATGGGTAGGGGAAAGGTAATAAGGGAAAATAAAAAAAATAGGAGACAATGAAAAAAATGGAAATGAAGTGTTTGTATTTTTATTGAGTTTATGGGTACATTCTAGGTATACAGTACAGTTACATTCATTACTGGGATCTTGTACCTTTACATGGCAGGTCTTGGCTCTCATTTTCCCCTTGTCCCTATCTTCCCTTCACCCCCTCCTCCCCTCACCATTTACAAACACTTTAAATCAATTATTTTTCATTTTATCACATTTTTTTTCTTTTCCCTTAGTCCTCTTCCCCTACCTTTCCCACTTTCCCTACACCGTTAGCCCTTTTCTTCCTATTTCACATTGTTAATCATCCTATTAGGATCTGTCAGACAGTATAAATAGATCACCCCATACCCATTTATCCTCTATTCAATGCAGTTGTAATAAACTAGAAATCAGCTGAGGTCACAAAGCTGAATGTAGGTGACATTAAACACTGCTCTGTGTCACCAAAACACATAAATAAATAAATTGCTGTTTTACTTCATTTTTCTGAAATATCAGAATATTTTTAAGAAACTCCTGAGGAATATCGTGAAACACCTTCCAGTTTCTTGACTAGGAAGGAAACCATGGAAAAATAAATACCTTCCCTTTCAGATTCTGTGTTATTGGTCTTCTGCAGTTGTTCACCTGAGTGTTTATGAGGTGGCAATTTATAAAACGTATTGAATTACAGAGGATCTTATACTGAAAGTGTTCTAGGGCACTTGGGTTCGATAGAACTGAAAAATACTATATGTTAGAACTGAAGTCTGAATACTTGAATGTGAGTACTTTGTTTTCTCCTTTTCTTCTCATTAAGTTTATTGGTACCTTTTAGGTATACAATACAGTTACATTCATTATTGTTGACAGGTCTTGGTTCTCATTTTTGGTACATTTTTTCCTCATGAGTTTATTGGTACATTTTAGGTATACAATACAGTTACATTCATTATTTTTTTGAGTTTATTGGTACATTCTAGGTATACATTACCATTACATTCATTACTGGGATCTTGTACCTTTACATGACATGTCTTGGTTCTCATTTATCTCCATGTCCCTGTCCTCCATTGATTATTGAGATCTTGTACCTTTACATGACATATCTTGGTTCTCATTTTTCCCCATGTCCCCTCCCTCCCTTCAAGTATTTTGAAGTCTAAATATATTCAAAATGTTGGGAGGCTCCTTTTTACAAATGTCTTTCTTTTTCAAAAAGCATCAAAACAATACAAAACCACAAACTCTTATGTGAGTCTCAGAATTGTATCTCATGTGCCTTTTGGAGAATCCAGTAATGCAACTCTTTGTATTTTTACTATTTCTATACATACATCTGGTCATGAGGCTCATGAACACTTCTCATCCTGGCCATAGGCTCTGGCTTCCAACTCTATAGCCCATGTTCCCTTTCCTGTTCATCCACTCCTCAGCTGAGGTCTGTGTCTTTTTTACCATTATCGTGAAAGTAACTGTGGACTTCCAGATTCACTGTGGAGTCATTTATTTTATGGTTTGCCTGACACAGATGCATTGTTTTATCACTTTTTGATGTATGAATGGCATGCATGTGATGGTCATGGCCCTTGACAAGTTTGTGACCATTTGTTACACCCTGCATTACATTTTCAAAGTGAAAATTTTTCCTGAATTGACTTTTAGTTTGAGTTAATTTTTATTAACTTTGAGAGTCCAAGCTGCACAATCAATCTGTCTTAAAATTTCCCTATTTGAAAGATGTGTAGCCATCTGTAAGTGCTACAGATCCCAGTAAGAAGGCTCTATGGACAGGTACCATCCAGGGCCTTGGACAGAGAAGAGCTACAGAAGCACACAAGCAACAGCCAGAGGCCCTTCCTGATACTATCTCAAGTGAGCACAGGCTCCTACCAAAAGCCTGTTGGGACAACAGGGCAGTGCAGGGATCCAGAGGCAACCATTCTAAACCCAGAAATTGCCACAGTGGTGTGTAGTAGAGAAAGGGCCTCTTGGTGGCTTGCTGAGAATTAAAGGCCACTAGGTGAGCAAAAATCACCTCAACAAAGGTGCAATAGGCTGTATCTGTTGAACTGAGAAGACACATAAACAAATCTCAAAAACGGACTTCCAGATCACCTAAGGCAATCACACAGGGAAATGAGATAGAACAAT